GCTCTTCTCCTCCTCAATTTCTTGTGTCAAGCTCGAGCCCAGCTCGCGCCCGCGATCTACGTCTTTGGCGATTCTACCGTGGATGCCGGCAATAACAATTTTCTCCCCACTGTTGTGAGGGCCAATTTCCCACCTTATGGTCGAGACTTTGATAGCAGTGTCGCCACCGGGAGATTTTGCAATGGAAGAACTCCCACGGATTATCTAGGCAAGTTGGTACTCTTTGCTCTTCTCGTTTTGTTCTTTGGCTCCGGATCTTTGGATCATGGAATTCCAACTATTCTTTTCCTTTGTCCAAGCTTTTATGATTGAATGTGGGATTTTCTATCACGCAGCAAACCTTGTAGGACTGCCATACGCTCCGGCTTACTTGGATCCCCAAGCGCAGGGCAGCAGCATTGTCAGGGGCGTCAACTTCGCCACTTCTGGATCCGGATTCTACGAGAAAACCGCCGTTCCCTTCGTAAGTCCCATGAACTTCTTTACTTCTTTGATCCCCCATGGTTCTTCTCATGCCTCCTTTCCCAAAATCTCTGTGAAGTCACTCGCGGAAACATTGTGTCAATTGTTTAACGCAGAATGTGCCAGGCCTGAGTGGCCAAATCCAGTGGTTCAGCAAATACAAGTCGAAGCTCATCGGCATGGTTGGGCAAGCCAATGCGAGCGACATCGTCTCCAAGGCGCTCGTCGCGATCAGCACCGGAAGCAACGACTACATCAACAATTACTACTTGAATCCCCTCACGCAAAAGATGTTCGACCCGGATACGTACCGAGCCATGCTCATTGAGTCCTTTGCAAACTTCGTCAAGGTAACGAGCAAACTCCCATGCCACACCTCTCTGGATTGTTTGGAACACACTCTCATCCAAAGCTCTGTTTTGGGTGATTCTCTTTAGGATTTGTATGGGCTGGGAGCTCGACGAATTGCCGTGGTCAGCCTAGCTCCGCTGGGCTGCGTTCCCTCGCAAGTGACCCTCTTTAGCCACGGGGAGCTGCAGTGCGTGGAAGATCACAACCAAGACGCCGTGCTCTTCAATGCGGCCCTCCAGTCCACCGTGAACTCGATCAAGGACGGCTTCCCGGGCCTCAGGCTCGCATACATCGACATCTACACGCTCTTCACGAACGTTCTCGCCGATCCAGGGAAATACGGTACGTGGAGAAACAAACTCCCCGATCGAGACCACGCGTTGACAACGTTGGTTTGTTTGTTCTTTGTGTAGGATTCCAGCAGACGCTGACGGGCTGCTGCGGAAAAGGGAGGTTGGAAGTCTCAATTTTGTGTAACATGCATACGCCGGGGACGTGCACTGATGCGTCCAGGTACGTTTTCTGGGACAGTTTCCACCCTACGGATGCAATGAACAAGCTGATTGCGAACGCAGCGCTCTCGCAAGGGGCTCCACAACTTCTCTAGGTGGAAAAAGTAAGATTCAGTCCTAGTCAAGACGTAGTCAACTAGTCAATAAAAGGTCAATAAAAGCAAAATGTTGACTAACCCTAAAAAGAGAGGAAAACACATTTGGTCCCAGCGAGTTTCGAACTCGCGACCTTTTGCGTGTAAAGCAAACGTGATGACCACTACACTATAGGACCTTGTTATTAAATACTGGCCGGTCTAGAGGTATTAGTGCGCCAGTTTATGTTAAGAAATAGCTTCCCGGGGATGGGGATTTAGGGTTTATGGCGCTGCTCCGACGCTACGGGCAGCTCACGGCGGTTCTCCACCAGGTATGGAAGCCGGACTGAGATGCATTGCGGTGAATGTGGCTTGAGAATCTAGGGCTCGTGGCGCCAATGCGCCGGGAGGAGCTTCCACTGTGATCGGGTGCTGCGAGACGATGAGGCACCAGACGCTGGGCCTGGCGATGGCGGTGAGGAGCAAGGCAAGAAGCGGGAGTATTTCACGACGGTCTCCAGGAGATACAAAGCTAGAATGGCCGTGGAGAGGCTGTTCAAGAGAGCTGCTGCCAAGGAGGCTGAAAATGCTGCTTCTGGTGACCAGGAAGCTAAGCCCGATGTTACCACGATTTCGATCGATCCAGCTCCGCATGTCAAGACCAAGAAGCTCGGTAAAACTGCGGCTTTTATCATGGAGGTATGTTTCTCTTCTTTTTTACTTTCCTCGCGAGTCTTTGCGAGTTTTATGTTGTTTCCTTTGCAGATTCTAAACAAGGAAGCTGTTGCTCAAGCTAAACAAGAGAGAGAGATCCCCGCGCTCAAGCCGGGCTACGTTATCCGCGTTAAAGTGGTACGTACTCTGCTCCATGTAAATCTCTTGATTCTCAACATATATGATTCTAGGAAGAGCCGCAGAACAAGCGAAGAATCCAAGAGTACAAAGGAATTATTATTGCCATGCGAAACAATGGCATACACACCACTTTCAGGCTCAGACGGCAAATCGGAAACACTTTCGTGGAGAATGTTTTGCCACTGTAAGTTTTTAACTTTTGCCGATGTCCTCTCTTGACATTCCTCTCTCTTTCGCTGCGCAGCTATTCCCCACTTATAAAAGAGTTTGAGATTCTGGACATAAAGAAGGTGAGAAGAGCTAAGCTCTACTACCTCCGACGCGGGGAGCACAAGCTCAAGTCGCTAAGCATGAAGAAGAGGAAGCTCCTCACCGCGGCCGCCACAGGGAAAACAATCACTCCGGAGTTCAAGCTCCCTCCTCCGCCAGCCTCGGATTGAATTGAAGCAGCACAGCAGCTCATCCATTTATTTTTGTCGGGTGAGTGACTTTGATCTCTTCCCTTTTCCTCTCCTGCAACAGCAAGGACTGAGAAAGCTTCCATTTTTCTTTTTGTTTTCCTCCTGCAGAGAGCTTTGGTGTGGGTGTTGCGAGCTTCTCTCTTCCTCACTCATTCACTCGCTCTCTCTTCTCTCATGGGCGGATGGATCAGATCACTGAAAGCGATATCCTGCGGAGAAAAGGTGCGTCATACTTATTCCGTCGTTATAGCGAGGACCTTTTTGTCAAATCAAATGGAAGTGTCCCTCTCGAGGGGCAAATCCATGTGCTTCCAATTCAATGCAAGAGGTTGAGCAACACACATCTCTCTCGCTCCAATAATCAGCACATGAGCAGAGCTAACAAGTTTAGCGAGAGTGCCAACTAAATCATCGAGGGATTTTAAAAGCTCTGGGGTCAATTTGTCACCAACATTGAGACCCCACACCAAAAGTCTCGCGGAAAAATAAAGGCATATGCGGTCGTTTTGTGGAGTATATGCCTGTGCGTGCTACTTAAAGCATGCGATAGAAATCAAAAGATTCCTCTGTAGTTTTTGTAATGGTCCCCATCGCATGAGTTTCCGTTGCATGTTGGTGTGCGTGCCTTTTTCTTTTTTGTTCTTCTTTTGCGTTCTGCTTTCCACGCTGTGACGCTTCCTCGTGAGCGTTTAAATACTGTTTTGAACGGTTTACAAGGGGTTGAAGACGGCCTTGGAGCCCACAAAAACAAGGGCCACAAACAAACAAGCCTCAAGCGCCCCAAAGCGCTTTCTTTTCTCGCCATTTACATTTGCCCACCTAATGGCATTTTGCTTGCTGCTGATTCATAGGCATGCCCACTTGATTTCGATCGATGTCTCTCTGGTTGTCGAGTGATCGGCGGCGGTCTGGAGCATGTGGTAGCTATAACATGCAAAGACGTTTAAGATCCACATAACAAAAAACCCCACAATTGAACAAACACCAACAAAAAACTGTAGAAGAAAGGGAAACAGCTGCAAACAAATGCCATGGACACTTGGCAGCAAAAGCTGGCTGGCGTGACACTGAACTCCTCAGGCCACACAGAGAGAGAGAGAGAGAGAGAGAGAGAGAGAGAGAGAGAGAGAGAGAGAGAGAGAGAGAGAGAGAGAGAGAGATGCACATATTCTCTATACATACCAGAAGGTGGCACTTCAAAGGAAAAGTCCAGACACAGCAGCCAGACAGGCAGACAGCAGGGCCAGCCAGCCAGCACCTAAGGAGCCAGTCAAAATGGATGAACTCTAAGCAAGCAGCAGCAGCAGAAGCCGAAAAAGCAGAAAAGAAGGAAAAGGATGGATAAAATACACTTGAAGAAGAGTCCACACTCAAAACACACACAAGCAGACACCCAGAGTTTGGTTGGAGGTGACTCTAGCCTAGGTAAAAGATGGTGAAAAAAAGAAGGATTTGGCAGTGAGAGGGGAAGAAATCAGATTTGGAGCAGCAAGAGCAGCAGCAGCAGATGCAGGAGCAGGAGCAGTTGCAGCTGTGTTGCAGGTGCAGGGGCAGCTGCAGCAGCAGGGGAACAACAGATGATTGATGGAGCAAACCTCTTACATGACATGCACTGGGTAAGATAGCATATTCATACGCACCAGCTCGGAGTATATGCGCGCGTAGTGGTACGTATGCGGCAAAAGTGTGGTCCGCCACAAGTACTTAACAGCTGATCAGAGAGGAAAAAGTCCATCTTGTCTGTTTAGCTAATCTGATCTCTCTCTAGCTTAAGCTTAACTAATCTTTGTGGGCAGCACTGCCGCTGCTGCTCCAGTTCGTCACAGTTTGCCGCCGGTCGCTGGCACTGATGCTGAGAGCACCACTGCTGCGTTCTAGCTCTGCCCTATTCTGTGCTAAAAGCTCAATCGTAGCACTACCACTGTGGCATCTCAGTACGCCCACAGTGAGGAGGTGTGTTGTGTCTGTTCGTTTTTGGATAAACTAAAACAATCCAGGGAGAGACAAGCGGGGACAAGCGAAGAGAGGATTATGATGCTGCTGCTGCTTGCTGGGCGATCTGATCTGGGACGAGAGAGATCTTATCTTACACAGGCCAATTTACGCAGAAGCTAGTGTTTTTTGGTATGAAAATCGAATATCAATGCTAAAATGGCTGGCGTCCTTCTTTTCTGGGGGGAGCTTTGTGCTGAAAGAGACTGTGAGAAGGCTTTGTGCTTGGCTATACTTACCAGGACTCTAAAAGTAGTTGGACTAGGTAGAAAGAAAGGAATTTCTTTTTTTTCTTCTGTTTTTTTTAATGTACCACATAAAGGAGGAGAAAAATGCAGTGAACCTGCTTTTGCAATGGTTATGGTGGATCCATTTCCAGACGAAGACGACGAAGCGAGCATTGAATGGAAGCGAGTGTGGTGAAGGAAGAAGTAGCTAGCTAGGACCAAAATTGATAGATCGCTGTGGGGAAGGAGAGGGTCTCGCGAGCGAAGAAGTTAAGACCTTTTCCGCGAGCTCGTTTCGTTCTCTCGGAGGTTGGAAGAGATCTCTCGGTGGCGCTGGGAGGAAGAAGAGACGGAGCAGTAGCAGCAGCAGCAGCGGCGGCGGCAGTGGACGGAGTCGAAGATTTGTAGCAGCGGTCGAGTGTTGTCAGCCCGATGATCGGGATCCTGTGCTCGTTGTTTCTTTGCTCGCGACGTTTTACTCCACCGGTGGGTGTCGATTCACTTCATTCTTTGGCTTTCCCCTCTCTCTCTCCCTCTTTTTCTTCGCTTTTTGTGATCTCGGGAGGAAACAAAAAGGAGAGAGCGAGCTAAAGGACGGATTAGAGGGGATAGATCCAAGGAAAAGCTCTTCTCTTCCTCGTAAGTTAGCTTGTTCCTTTCTTTCTCGTTTTTGGCTGGTAAGATTTCGCTGTTGGGTGAGGACCGATTGCTCTGGGCAGCAGCCAGACAGGGGAATTACGAGCTCGCGGACAATGGGTTGCAGCTGGATTGATTGCTACGATGCTGCTGCTCCGACCCACAAGCCGGATTTAATGCTGGGCGAGTGAAAAGAGAAGAGGAAAGAACAAAGAGGAAAGGAAAGATCTAGGCATAGCCTAGTCCACTGTGGAGCGTGTTTGCTCCACAGGATTGATCCAGGGCTGGGATGGAGGAGCGAGTCCATCACATCCACCGCTCGTAATGTGCCAGGGAACAAAAGAGGGGAGGAGGAAGAAAATGCCGCTAGGCTCTCGTCCTCTTGTTCTTGGGGGATGATCGTAAGCTCTAGAGACAGCGCTCTGGGAAGCTAGCTCGATCACTCTCGGAGGATATAGCATCGATCGATATGGCTTACGCGGGCAGTAAGCGTAGCAAGGATGACTACTCCCCGGCCGACGAGCAGCAGCAGCTCCTCGACAAGCCGTCCAAAATGGCCAGGGCTTCGTGGGATCACGCGATGGACAGCGGCGTTCTTAGCAACGGGGCAGTCGTCACCACGTCCAGCGGCGCCACCACTGCCTCCACCACTCCCTCCGCCGCCTACGCCGCGAACCTGGAGCACTGGATGAGGATTCAGGGCGGCGCGTCGAGCGGCAATCTGGTAGTCGCGAACTCCAGCGGTCCGACCAACACTGGCTTTGGCTCTGCTGGTGGTGGAGCTAGCGGCGGGGGCGGGGGTGGCGGCGCTGGCGGCGCTGGCGGCGCTGGCAATCAACTCAACTTCCAGCAGAGAGTGATGGCTGCCGCGGCATTACAAGAGATTCGCAGCATTCACAGCGTTGGCAATGGTGGCGGTGGTGGCGGAGTAGTGTCCAATTCGGCAGCGCTGGGCGGAGGTAGCGGCGGTGGCGGTGGCGGTGGCGGTTTCAAGTATCCCGCTTCTCATGTTCTTGACGCTTCGTCCTCCACGACGAACAACAACAACAACAACAATAGCGGCACCACTAGCAACTTGGATCAACACCATCACCAGCACCACCTTGGACACCATCACCACCACCACCACCTCCCGCTACCGCCGCTTCCCCAGTCTCCAATGCGTCCCACCATGCGGGAGCTCGACATGTATAGCCCGATGCTCCAAAATCTCCCGGTGGTTCCTCTCGTCCATCAGCAACAGCAGCCATCGTCCTCCAAAGTTATGCAGATCAACAGTAACGCTAACAGTGGTGGCGGCGATTTGATCAACTCTCACATCCTCCAGCAGCAGCAGCAGCAGCAGCCTCCAGCCATGAATCACTCCGGTATTTTGCAGCAAGCGCCTGTTCTTCCGCAAGCTCCTCCGGTGATCCACCACCAACAAAACCAGATGATCCAGCAGCAGCAGCAGCAGTCAGTTCTTCCCCCGGCTCCGGGATTGCTGGGACGAGATCCTTGCTCGTGGTTCTCGACGATCAACAAGGACGCCACCAACAACATGGTTCCGCCGCTGCCACCTTTGATACCCTCGGACGTGATGTCGTCCTTCTCTGCCATCCCGCCGCTACCGCCCAGCTTGAGCTCGTTCGGTAACACGGATTTCCTCGACCACCATCAGCTCCAAGTCCTTCCGAGCATCCCACTCCAGCAGCAGCAAAGCTCGTCGTCGTATCGAGGGGACTTGATCACTCCATCACCGGAGATGATCTTCAACGCCAACGGCAGCTGTAACAACGCAGTCAGCGGCTTGACAAGCAATGGCAATGGATTCTCGCCCATGGTTTCGTCCTCCCAGATTGGTGGCAACTTGCAACAGCAGCAGCAGCTGCAAAGAAACTCTGGAAACGGGAACAAGATGATGCAATCAAACACGGGAAACGCGGCGTCGTCGAGGCAGATCCACCACCATCTCGCAAACGGCGGGAGCTCCTACTGCTCCTCGGAGATGGCCGCGAGCTCCGTGACGAGCGTCCACAACCACGCGGCGGCGGCGTCCTCGTCCAACACCACCATGCAAAACGGAAGCCCCGAGGACAACACCACCACTCTGGCCCAGAGGAGCAATCACCACCATCACCACCAACATAACATCAACGCTTCTAACAAGCAGCCACCAACGAGAACGTATACAAAGGTAAGTGTGACCGAGAATTCACTGTTCTTGAGTGATCGATGCATTGGGTCGCGATGATCTTTCAGGTATACAAGCTCGGATCTATTGGGAGAGCTGTGGACGTGACGAGATTCAGCAACTACACGGAGCTGCGGTGGGAGCTGGCTCGGATGTTTAACTTGGACGGTCAGCTGGATCAGAAGTCAGGGTGGCAGCTCGTGTTCATCGATCACGAAGGGGACATCTTGCTGGTCGGAGACGATCCATGGGAGTAAGTTTCGAAGAACTTGTTTGGTTTCTTTCCTTGTTTCCCGAGTTCGTGATCAGTTGGCTCTTTTCTTCGTGGATTTGACTCGTTTGATTCTGTGGTTCTAGGGAATTCGTGAGCTCTGTTCGAGGCATCCGGATCCTGTCGCCGTCGGAGGTGGCGTTCTACACCAACAATGAGACGGACAGGCCCGCGGGAGCCAATAACAACAACAACAATAGCAATGGCAACAACAACAATAACAACACCACCAACAACAACAACAGTAACACGAATCTAGCCTCCGCAGGAGGGATTTGATCACGGTGACAGGCAAAAAAAAAACGGAAAAAATCGAAGAAGAAACGAAGAAAATCGAGCGCTAGCTATCACAGGTTTTTTTCACTCTGTGCCTTGTGTTTTTTTAGTGTATCCTCAAAGAGATTTCGCGCCTAAATTCGAAATTCGCGTGAAAGCCCTAAGGGCTTGGAGATGTGTCCTTATCGCCGTAGGAGACAGCAAGGTACGCACACTTTTCTTCCGGTCTCGAGATGGACAAGGAAGAAGTTTTTTTGTAATGCCGCGCTGGCATTTGGAAGCTCTGATCCGGATCGAATGATTTCTCGAAGGGTATTTTAATATCTCTTTGCGTTGCAGACCAGCTGATCACTTGTGGCGCTACCATTCGATTGACCAGATCATGGGTGTGGTGATTGCGCAGGTTTGCATTGTGATGCTGGCGGCCTCGGTGCTTGGATTCATATCCTACTGTAAGAAGCGACCCTCGTCCAGCACCATGGAAGATTACTTTTTGATTGCTCCGGAGCTCCAGAAGCTTGAGGTGTGTGATAGAGTTTGATTCTAGGCTCTAGCTTCGCGTGTTCACTCGTTCATTGTGGGTGGAATTCTTGGTGTGCAGATAGAAAAGGCATCTAAAAGGTTTGGTGCGGGGTTTATCATGAATAGTAGCCGGATTCGAAGCTTTTCGGCTGGATTGAAGGTATGCGCAGAAGCTGTTTCTTGTGTCTCCTTTTTATGACGATGGCTTTTTTTTTGTAGGATGATTCTAAAAAGCCGGAAAGGTAAGCTTGCTTTCCAGTTAGTTTTTGTTTTCCCGGAACTGGATTTACTCTGCGTTGCTTCCGCAGATATTTCTTGCTTCGTCAACGATTCATGGATGTGTTTTTCCTGGACTCCAACGGATTGGTTGTATGTTTGTTGCCCTCTTTTGGCATTGACTTTTCTTTTTCTTCGCTAATGAAGGCCGGGGAGACTTTCGATCAGCTCAACTGGCTAGAACACGTCCTTGCAAGTAGCTCGGCTAGCTGGTAAGGCTCACTTTTAGTTCTCCAGGCAGGCCTTCACTTTTTTATTTTTGATTTTGCTTTTTCTTGCAGGCGTGTGATTGTTGGTCATCACGATTTGGAGGAAAACAGCAATGCGTCGTTGAAAAACATGCTTCTTCCGCTTTTTCTGCGGCATGATGTGGTAAGCAGTGTAGTCGACGAATAATTCAGAGGAAGGTATCATTTTGGAAGAGCAGAATGTTTATGTCCATGACGGCGAGGACTTCTCTTGCCGAAACACCATGGATCGTAGGATGATGTTTATCGGCATTGGTTCCCAGAATTCGACTCAGGAATCCAGGTATTTCAATTTCCGCTGGCTACTCATACCGATCAAAATCTGTGATTGTAGAAAGAATCAAGCAGACTTCATACTCACTCGCGTGACAGCTCTGGAAATGGTATGCAGTCTTTTTTTCTCTTCGTAAGTTCAAAGCTCACGAGAGCGTTTATTGCTAAAGGAATTTATCTTGATGAACGCAAATGCTCAAACGGTCTCTAGAGCCCTCGCTGCCCAAAGAGGGAGAGCTACAATCTAGAATGCCAAAGACAAAACTATTCTTTTTCGCGGTTCGATGAAGGCATATTCGCTTGCGTCGCCGCAAGGCCACAATCTAATCGAGCGGTGTGCAGAGTAATCGCGTGGCACCATCACAAGCCATAAGACTAAGCAGACGTAAATCCCGGTGTTATAAATGGCGTCTACTGTCGAGTTCGAGGTTTTCTGGCGATGGCGGCTAGCTCCAGCAGCGAAGACGTCGACGAAGTACCCAGTAGCGTAAGTGATTTCAATTGAATAGCACTCGTCTTCTAGAACTAGAACGCCGAAGTTTAGATCTCTGGCGTGGATTTCTCATTTGGGCTTCTTGAATTTCGATCGTTTAGGATGATAAGGGTGAAATTGCGGAGTATGTGCACAAAGGAAACGATCTTTACAGGCGGGGAAAGTACAATGAGGTGCAATTTTTGTTCTTCATTTCTTTGGTGCTTAGAATGTTCTTTCTCTCGTTCGCAGGCAATATGCGCTTACTCCAAGGTCTACCAAAAAGGTGTGCCGCACTCTGGGATACTTCTCTCGAATCGGTGTGCTGCTTATTGTAAGTAAGTGGATTCCTGCATTTTCTTCCTTTTTTTTTTTGTTCTCTACATGCGTTTGGCTGATATGCTCTCAGGTTTAACGAGTATCTGAGAAGAGTTCCTGCTTCTGTCTCTGAAGAGAATGCACTGTATGGGAGAGATCCCATGGAGCTTGCTCAAGTAAGACTCTGTTGCTATTGTGATCTTTGCTTTGACGACGTTTGTGGACTAAAGCTGGCACTAAAAGACGCGGAAAAACTTATGAAACTCTCCCGCGACTGGCCAAAGTCTTATCTACGTAAAGGATCAGCATTGCTTCTGGTACGCCCGTCTTCTATCTCTTGGTAATGGCTGTACTTATTCATGCTTTGCAGTTGGAGCAATATGAAGAAGCAAGAGCAACTTTTCTTTCGGGCCTTAAGCTGGATCCGAAAAAGTGAGAAAGTAAGCTCTATCGGAATCACTTCGACTAACACCATATCTGTAAAACAGTGTGCCTCTGTTGATGGCTCTGAGCCGATTGGTCTGCGAGGAAGGCACTGGCACGAGTGCTGAATCTGGTGCTCCAAAAAGATTGAAGCTGCAACGGTGCGACGATTTTGACTGTACTTTGTGTCTGAAACTACTCTACAACCCTGTCACTACCCCTTGCGGCCATTCATTTTGTCGGGCTTGCCTGCTACAAGCACTGGACCATGGTAAGTAAAGCTGACTTGTAAGATCTTCATGCCTTTGTGACACTTTTCTTTTTTCTTTCCATGAAGGCAACAAGTGTCCTATGTGTCGTACCGTTCTCTTCGTGAATCCTAAAACGTACCCAGTTAGTGTCACCTTGAACAATGTCATTCAGCGGAATTTTGCCGAGGAGTACCAAGACCGAAAAGCTGAAGTCGATGGCATGACTCTTGCTGGTAACGAGATCTTGCCATTGTTCGTGATGGACTTCGTTGTTCCTTTTGAAAAGATGTGCCTCAACATTTTCGAACCGCGGTACAGATTGATGGTAGTTCCACTTATGATTCGCGGTGGCTTTTCCTGTCACTGATGCTTTTAACTGTCAGGTACGAAGAATTATGGAAGGAAATCACCGAATGGGAATGGTAAGAGCTAGTTTTTTCTCTTCTTATACTTGACTTGAGTGTCACTGTTGTACAGGTGGGAGTAGATCCACAAACCGGAACTATAGCAGATGTTTGTTGCGAGGTCGAAATATGCGAGTTAGTATCTATAGTTTCTTACGCAGTTCTAAATATCAAACAAATGTAGGTGTGACCCGCTGCCAGATGGAAGATTTCTCCTACAGGTGATATCATCATGGTTCTATCTTTTCAAGCGTGCAGTTTTGTCACAGGTGGAAGGAAGGCGTCGATGCCATATAACTAAAAGCTGGGAACAAGACGGGCAAGTACTTTCTTCCATTGCTAGAATGAAGCTGGTTCTTTTTTTTTGTAAATTTTTGCAGTTACCGAGTGGGCCAAGTCCAAAGCTTTCAAGACAAACTGCCTCCAAATGGCTCCGAAGAAAACGAAGAGGTGAGCTCGACTTTTGTTTAACCTTTCTCTTACTTTCCGGTATTTTACTTGGTTTCAGCTCGTTGAAATGGCAAAAACCGCTCGAGAGATGGCGACTTCTTTGATTTCTCACATCCAAACGGCAGGTACTGGGTTGATTTCCTCCAGTTTCGAAATCCAGAGAACACATTCTAATCTTTTCCTTGTAGATCATCACTCTCGAGTCACAGAGCTACTGCTACGTGCGGAAGGGATGCCTGATATATCGGACGTAGAACGCTTCAGTTTTTGGGTTCGTGTGTCGTGCTCTACGGCACCACGAAAGGAAACTTATTTTTCTCTTTTCTTGTCAGGTAACCAATCTTGTGAGCATCAGATCGTCCGAGAAACTGGAGCTATTGCGTCTCACCAACACACAGACTGTAAAAGATCTCTTCTCTTTGATGCTCTTGGTTTTGAAACAGCGTTTTCTGTGACAGCGCCTTGCTCGTGGCATTTCGCGACTGCGAGCAATAGGAAACCAAGGAGGGTGTCGTGTCCAGTAGAAGTTCAAAGGAAAAATCACAAAAAAAGTTACCTCTATAAAGATCCAAACGTTAGGTTCCTGGATTTTGCATGGATCTATTATGGAGCCGTGCTGTGTTGCGGAGCGATATCTTGCCGGTAAGCTAGAAGAAGCTCTAGCCGATCTAGCGCAGTACCAAATGGTACTCTTCGCAATAAGCAGCACTAGCGATGCCTGGAGCTTGCTAGTTTATCGCCAAGGGAGTTTTTTCCACTTCGACAGCTCGTTAAGAAGCACCACCCGGTTGGATTGGATCTCCATCGGCCGAACCCCATGGAGACTCGAGTTCTCACAACCTGGACCAGATCGCTTGCCGGAGCTGCAAGCGCTAGAACGTACGCTCGTTGCTGATTTGCGAGGAACTCGATAGCAATAGCATGGCTGTGGAAGCTATTGCCGAGACGAGGCGAGGGATCGTGGATCTAGAGAGACGCTAGTACTATGGGCACTTTGAAAGTTGGCATGGATTTCCTCTTCTTCGAGGGTGGCAAATCGGGACAGGAGAAGCTTATCCTTGTAAGACATTACGAGATCATTTGTTATCCAAGCTGTGCACCAAGTTCCTCATGCTCATGAACTTTGTGGTACTCCCGAATGCGTCGTCCGGGAGTCCGGGACAATCGACCTTCTTCAGCTGGATACATGCTTGTCCAGAGAACATTATGTCATCGGTTTGAGGCAGCTCTTCTATGTTCATCAAGGACTGGTCATAGTGAAATATATAATCAGGAGAAAACGTTTAATAACAAACTAGACATGAAACTACAAAGGGACCTGAAGAAGATGGGGACGAGTTTGCGCTTCGCTTTTGCTAAGGTTATGTTCTCCAAATTAAAGGAAACTTTACGCATTTAGAGGCAAAAGTTAGGGTGGGGTTTCCATGGATGAACGATCATCAAATTCTTCTGTCAGAGCCACAGCAAGGAGCTCTTTCTGTTAATGTCGGCTAAGCCCGGGAGGTATTTAACGAAGTACCAACTCATACTTTGCCCAGTAAGCAGCTCCACTTGTTGGAGCTTGCTGATTTATCGCCATGGGAGCTGTTTCCACTTGGAGAGTTCATCTACCAGCCACAACAGTCCAACTGCGCGCCTCTTGGCTGGCTGGACATCAACCATACGCCGCGCCAGCAATGCCAGCGACGCCGGCTACTCGAGTTTTTCGTATCCCTTAGAAATCAGGATTCGGGCGTCTACGTTATGGCGCTCGCGGAGGCTCTTGCTAAAGCTCCGGCAAGCGATCCGGTCGAGGTTAAGCATGGATGTGGGAGCTGTTGCTCAGACGAGGCACTCCTTGGCCGCGCGGAAAGATGCAAGAACGATGGAAGCTCTGAAAGCCGTCATGGATCTCCTCGAGGAGAGCAAACTGGGACAGGAGCAGCTTATGCTTGTGGACAGACAAGTCATAGGAGTACGAGATCATTTGTCCAAGCTGCTCACCAAGTTCCGCGAGAGTTACGAGGTATTCGACTCTCCCCTGTTCTTTTTGTTCGCTTGTGATTGCTTGTTTCTCTTTTTCATCTGTCCACAGCGCCACAAGTGGAGCTCTTCCTTGCTGTGCTGGAGGCATTTGTACTCTTGGACCAGGAAGAGTACGAGGATACGAGGATCTGCTGTGACAACCTCATTTGTTCCTGGAAAAGAGATGCCTCCGGGACAATCGACCTCCTGAAGCTGGATCCCTTGAGCCTTCGACTTTATGACTGCACTTTTGAAGCTGTGCTGAAGTGCCGTGTAACAGCCCTTGGAAATCAAATCAGAGATTATATAGACTCATTTTGCATGCACGCAGGGTTTTCGATCATATGTTTCATCACATAGGAAGAGTCCATGTCGTCAACGTAAAGGATCGTTCCATGGAGATTTCCTGCATCATCCTTCGCCTTCAAGACGATGACGCATCGTCCTTCGGACTTCTGGAGCATGCTAAGCTCTTTTTTCCAGTGTACAACAAACCGGGCGCTCTTAAGGGTGAGCTTGCTAAGGAAGCTCTAGCAGTTCCAGCTGCAATCTCAGTGTGGAGGGATGAGTTTCCAAAAGTTTCGGCATCGAAAGTGCACGGGAAAAAGGCGGCAGTGGTCGAGGCCAGGCAGCATGAGGAACTTCAGTGGGGCTTGGGTGTTGACTAAAGAATATTTTGTGATGCTGTTGAATTTTTAATTGTCGAATTTACTAGGAGTGTTCTTTCATCATTATAAATGTATAATATTATAGTATTTTTATATTATATATAATAATTAGTAACACTATAAAGCAGAAAGTACAATGGAAGTTCGAGAGTGGTTCTCTATAATGTGCTTACGACAGCTCCAGTCCAGAAGAGGTGCTGGCGAAGAAATGCATGAAGCCACGAGGAAGAACCAGGTGATAGAAAGGCAGGAGGTCGACATTGCCGCGAGATGCGAGCTTAATCCATTGGTCTCATTTCCTGTTTCTGTTGTTTCAGCTCCTTGGGTAAATGAAGCCCCCAGCTGGTATTTGGCGCATGACACACAGCCGACTGCCTTGTGCTGTGATGCAGCTCCATATGATTCTTCAACGAAGCTCCTCTACAACTTTGTTCAACTCGAAACAGCAGTTTTGGTGATGTCGTGGTCGGCGGCGCAGTCCTGTCGCCATCCTTTCGGAAGATGTCAAATGACGAGAAGGAGAAGCTTTCACTTGCTAGCGGATCCAGCCACACAGGTCTCGAAGTGAAGAGGCACTGAAGAGGTTGTATGTCTTTGCACGCTCTTTGTTTGGGATGCTCTAAGATGTTTGTCTCTCGTTTTTCAATAGCCTAGTACCCGGATAAACCAGCCAAACGTCCAGCGCCAGAATCAGGAGTTTGCGCTTCTGGCACAGAGCTTACGAAACATTGTGGGTGAGCGCACGGTCGAGTCGTTTGTGTGTTCAAGCAGCTGAATATCTGGATACTATTCTTCGAAACTCCTTTAGAAGTTCATCCAGTTTGAACGGCAAGGGTTGGCGGCAAAGGCGAATGATAAGTTTTTCCTTCTCGTTGCTTGGCATTTTCCCAAAGGGCTTCGACAAGATTACTAGAAGTAATAAATAAACCATCAATTTCTTGATAAGTTTTCTTTTGAGTACATATACTTTTCCTTACAGCGGGGGTGAGATATATTTATTCCGGGAGTACAAATTGGTGCTTGCCAAAATTTTGGGACAGAAGGACCCTCTAAATAAAAACGCATATAAAAAATGCCAGATCAGGTTGTCACGGATCACCATCTCGGCCATCAATAGCAAACACACGCAAGTAACTCCTCCGGAGCGCAGCGAGAGACGCGCTTCGCATTTAGATCTGAACACGGGCGTCCATCTCCACCATGCGCGCTAGCTCGATCAGTCGATTTCGCCAATGAATTGGACTTGGCTGGGAGCAGCAGACAGAGAGCCTCTACGAACGGTTTCCAGGGACAAACGGCAGTCCTTTGCTGATTGATTTGTGGCCAAACCCAACAACAAAAAAAAACGCTGGCTACAAAGCGTAGATTGCTGGTCGATCGGAGATCTAGAAAATGCTTTTAAAAGGTACTAAAGTTTTTTCTTTTTCTCCTTTTTCCACAAAATTGATTGAGCGTGTGCGTGCAGCCGTGTGGGGCATTGAATGTGGGCGCAGATTTGCAATCTAGCCGCTGGATCCAATGCCTTTGATTATCGGATCGAGGCGTTATATATGCTCTCGTCCGTCCGATAAAACCGAGCAGAGATAAAAATTGAGAATGTAGAAAAGAAAGACTGTCGAGTCATCATAAATTCCTTAACAAACGTGGACCTTGGCGACCACGTCACCCGGACGGGGCCACGCAAAGTCAACGCCCAACACGTGTCCGTAGCGCGAATATTCGCTGGGGCCGTGACACGTGCGGGGATATTCTCGCCGCGGCGGCGCGGCACGGTATATTCCGGCGGCGGCGGCGGCGGGGGTGGAGAGGAGCGGGAATGCGGGAGAAAGACGTGTTGGAGAAGAAAAGAGGAAACGAGATGGAGGAGCTTCGCGATTTTAGGGCTCGTCACAGGGAAATTTAGGGCGCCAGGAGGCGCAGATCAAGGCGCTTGTCTCTCTGTTCTCTTCTCTCCCTTCTCTCTCCGATCGAGCGCGAGCTCCAGCGATGTCGTGATTCGATGCGCATTTTGTGAGTAGCTTTCCCTCTTTTTTCTTGCTGTGATGAATCATTCCATCGATCTCTGCCGGTCTTGGCTTGTCCTGCGCTGTAGCTTGATTCCTGTTGCCGGTCTCATCGTTTAGGCGCGGGCGGCCGGTCTGCATTTTCTGCGTGTTTTTCCCCTTGTCTCATTCGTGGATTCGATGTGAACGCGTCATGGCTTCGTGGATGTGAGATTTTTGGCAGGGTTCTTCGTTCTCGGAGCTAAATTTTTCCTCTCGTGATCGCAGCGGCGCCTGAGAGGGAGGCGTGATGCCTTCCTGGTGGGGCGGCAAGTCCTCCAAGGAGCCCAAGGAGGCGGCGGCCAAGAAGCAGCAGCAGCACAAGAGCAAAGATGGCATGCGCTTGCAGATTGGGAGCTGGAAGACGAGGCTCTCCTCCTGGACGGACGACGAGAGGAAGAACAGCTTCTCGCCGGGTTACCGCTCCAGCTCGGATAATTCCAGCAGCTCCAGGCCGGTGTCGCCGTGCACGCCCTCGGACTCGGCAAGGCAGCCATGGCCTCTGCCGTGCTCGCCCTTCTCTCCCCAAGGCGCGGAGGTGCGAAGGAACCAGTCCCTGCCGCTTCCTCCTCCCCAGGAGCAAAAGCCCAGAGCGGGGATTTTCGCCGAGGCAGTGGCCGCGACCTCGGCCTCTTCCAGCATCAGCTCAAGCAACAGCGATACGTGTGACACCAACCAGTAAGTTTCACTTGTTCTCTCTTTCTCCGTGAATGATCTCGTGGTTTTGGTTGTCTTCTTTCAGATCAAAGGCCTCTCCTTGGAAGGAATGTAGGTCCTCGGGAAACGGATCGACGCCTTCCAATCCGGTTCCAGTGAAAGCTACGTCAAACAACGCGCACTCCCCGTGCTTGAGCCCGTGCCGCAGTCCGAGAGCAATTCTCGACGCCGGTGACGCCTTCTATCCGTATAGTAACAGCGCTGCCGCTGTTGCTCCTGGGAACAGCCCGCCGGCCTTCACTGCTACAGCCGGGTCGAGGAATCCACGCACCCAAAGTGGAAGTGGTGGAAGTGGTTTTGGTGGTGGTGGTAGTGGTGGTCAGCTTTCTCCCCGCCACACGCCGCACCCGTTGCCAGCACCACCACCACCACCTTGCGGAAGTGGATTTCCATTGTCGCCGACGCTTTCACCGTCTAACAGGGGGGCGACGACAACCTGCTGGCAGAAAGGGAAGCTCATCGGTAATGGAACTTTTGGATATGTGTATGTTGGGTTTGACAGGTACCGCACACCACTCCGGCCCCCCTCGCTTTTTTATTCTCCTCGTTTGCTCCAGCGACAGATCTAACACGATTCTCTTGCCATGTGCAGCAACAACATCGGCCGGATGTGTGCGATGAAGGAGGTTCGCATTATTGGTGACAATGATCAGTCTAAAGAGAGTGCTAAACAGCTCGGACAGGTACTTGCTATTCTATCTTCAAAGTTCTCGTTGTTCCATTTTTTAATTTTTTTTCCCCGTTCATTGGTGTCGATCACTTTTAACTTGCGTTGCGTGTCCGCCATGCTTCAGGAAATTACTCTCCTCAGTCGCTTAAGGCACCAGAACATTGTACAGTACTATGGATCAGAAGCAGTAAGCACTAGCGTGATCCTCATTGTTGTGCTGCTCATTACGTTTTGCTTGGTGTTCTTTGTAGGTGGAGGACAACCTTTACATCTATCTCGAGTACGTGTCGGGTGGCTCCATTCATAAGCTGCTTCAAGACTATGGACCATTCAAGGAGTCGGTTATCAGGCGCTACACGAGACAAATACTTTCGGGTTTATCCTTTTTGCACAGCGTGGAGACTGTTCACAGGTACTTTTTCGAGTGGCGTTTTCTATGTCGTGCCAGCGTTATTCTTTTATAGAGACATCAAGGGCGCAAACATCCTTGTCGATACCAATGGCGTGGTGAAGCTTGGGGACTTTGGCATGGCCAAGCACGTACGTTTTGTGTGTAGTCTGATCTTTTTCTGGCACTCACCCCGGGACTGCTTTCAGATAACTGCTCAGTCATTCCCACTTTCTTGCAAAGGAAGCCCGTACTGGATGGCTCCAGAGGTTTGTGGATGTCACGTAAAGTGCCTGTCCATAAAAGCGGGTTTTGTCTGGATTGACAGATTCTAAAATCAACTCATGGTTATGATCTCTCTGTGGACATTTGGAGCCTCGGTTGCACCGTGATCGAAATGGCAACTGGAAAGCCTCCGTGGAGCGAATTTGAAGGGGTGAGTGACATAACGAAGTTTCAGTCACTAAGTTTCTAATGTTTGAATGCTCAGGTCGCTGTTATGTTCAAGATTGGCAACAGCAAAGAAACTCCTCCAATTCCTCCGCATCTGTCCGAAGAGTGCCAACACTTTCTGAGGTTGTGTTTGCAAAGGAACCCGGCGGACAGACCAACAGCGACAGAGCTCATGGAGCATCCATTTGTGATGGACATACCGGACACCAACTCAGACTTCCAGGTACCGCAGCCCTTTTGTTTCTATATCAATTGTGTAGCTAAATCTCGATTTTTCCAATCTCATCAGACTCGAGATGGCTACCAGACGACAAGGTGAGTTTTGCATTCGTTTTTTTGTTGTAGCTAATGGTACTCTTTCATTAGATACGCGTCTACTCCACCTCGGCAAGTACTCTCTCCGATGTTCTCCCCTTCCTCCCAGTTTGGATTCCAGCCGGCCTCCGAGGCCGACGCCACCGCTTTCTTCCTCCAGACTCCATCCGATTTTGGGAGGCGATTGAAAAGCATGGAGGATCCTCACCAGCAGCAGCAGCAGCAGCAGCAGCATCGCCACCACCATCATCATCCCGCAGCAAAGATGCGTAACGGCGGCCACGGATTGTCAACGTCCGAGATCGAGGTTCGCAGCGTCATCTCTGACATTCATCATCACCAGAGGCTCGTCAGCTGCCTGGATCTCAAATGCTGAAGTTACGTTTTTTCCTTTATTCTCATCATTTACCTTCCTCCTCTTCTTCGCAACGCTCCTTTGATGCGAGGAAACGATTCTACTACGACGAGTGCTCCTCTTTTTGTATATATGACAGCACCGGCTCACAATTTTGCCTCTTTTACTTTACCTCCGTTGTAAAGTTTTTTAAATTAACGGATATTCTTGCTCTGCTTTTTAGGGCTCTTGAGCAGCCACAGGGGATATGGTGGCCATAGCCGCGCTCCACACAATTCCATGGCATTCCTCGCAATCTCTGGCGAATGGTCGCGGGAGGAGGACGATCTGGGCATCGGCAGCGCCGGATTCTGCTCAGAAACCTGGTACCTTAGCTATTCAGGAGGAAGAAGTTGTAGAAAACGTAGAGAAAGAGGAAGATTATACTGGATCCGGGTGTAAGACTTGCGGGCGATCGGAGGTGATGTGGGGCTGCAATGGGCTGGGGCGAATCCAGGGCGGCATTGCAGCGGTGCCAGGATTTGGGTGGTGGCCAATCAAGGCATTCCGGCCATGCCCGGCGTTCGTAGAGTCTGGGGGGCGGTACAAGAGGCAGGGCCAGAGGCTGGACGAGTTTGCCTATGGCAGGCGATTTAGCAAGAGCGAGAAGGAAGCAAGCCGTCCCACATCTGATACTCCTCGCAAGAAGACCACGAAGAAGCACAATTAGTATGAAGTTCTTCCGCATTCCAAGCACGGGCTGTATTGTTAGTAAAATAATATATAAAAGTGAAAAAATAATTTTTTTTAATTCATATATAAAATTTAAAGACAGTCAATCATAATTCATTATACACTGTTTTAAATTTTATATACATAACGTTTTTTAATGTTATAGTTAAAATTTAAATGTTTTTTAATACTTAATCTTTTGCATCTTGACACTTGATTGTGAAATTTTGATGAGTTACACTACTACTCACACTAATATTTATAAAATAAGTTTTTAGTTTATATTAAAACTAAAAACTAAAAATATATTATAATTATTTAACATGTACTTTTTATAAGGTACATTGAAATTTAACAGTGGGGTATGATAACAACTGAGATAAAATTTGTTATCCACTACAAAATACTAAAAAAGTTATGTCTTTTAGAAAATAAAATAATATTTACAAAATAAATGGAGTTTTTATTTTGAAAATAAATCTATGTTAACCATCTGGATTGAAATTTTTAATATGGTTCAAATTTTATTTTTGGTTTTAATATAATTTTAATTTGCATGTTTCATGCCAACACAATACAATATATATGTTTTTCTAATGTAGTTGGAGAAATGAAAATGTTGATCATGCCGTCTGACCTTCATAACCTTTGCGAAAAATAATTGTGGAAATGAGTTCAAAACAATTTATTATATTACATTCTCAAAATATGGTATGATATTTAGTTTTTTGTAAAACATATTGTAATGTTATTGTTGTTTGTTATAGAAAACTTAATATTGAAAACTCAATATATGCATTAGTGAAGGATGAAATGAGAATAAAAAAATCTATGGTTTTAAAATGTAATTGATTATTAAAAGTTTTAAAAGCTAAAGAACTAATTATTATTTTAAAAAAAACACATGAAATAAATAAAGACAAGGAAGTACAACTCGAGGTGTATAAACATTTTTATCAAACGCATTAAAAATAAAATGTTTAGAAAAATACTGTCCAATAATATATATGGAAAAATATTTTGTGTATTAACCACAATATTTTAATATAAAATAAGTTTTGGAATATTATTCATTAAACTCTAAATGATTTTTATATATTATTTAAAAATATTTATATGGTTTAATTATTGAAATTATTTAATATATATTACATTTTTTACAAATCAAAATGTTCTGGTTAAAAAAGTGGACTAAAAAATATAGAGAAAAATAGAAAATAAAAAATGGAAGATTGTTAAAATTTAAGAAGCAATAAAATACAAATTTATTGGAAAATTTTGTAGTGATTATTGCATGAAATATTTATTCACTAATATGGCACATTTGTACCTTCTCCCTAAAATTATATTTATTAAGATAAGCTTTAATCTTCTTTATTATCCAGGTACTAAAACTTTATATTCAAGGTTTTAATATTGCTATGTTGATTTGTTTATTGTCATGAACTTTTAAATTAATATGGACTCCTTTTTGGTTATTTTTTTATTTGGTGGGAAATTCTTGAGATAGTTTGTAATTGTGCATTTTGGAAATTATATCATGAAATCTATCAAGTTTTATTATTTATTTAAAACTTGTATCACTTAAATATAACCATCTTTATGATTCCCTCTATCCTAAATCTTTTTCAAATTTGGTATTTTAAATTTATTTATTATATGATGATTAGTATAGTATAACCACAAAGTGGAACTTAAACCTTTTATGTGCCACGTGTCATATGCCACATGCTACATACCACATGTCCAAGACAGTAAAGTGGAACCCAAGTTTCAAAGAGACTTAGGCTACTAAATGAAAGAATTGAGCTAACCTTGTAAACATTAAGCTAAGGAGCAATAGAATGACTCATCTGGAGCATAAAGTAGTTTATAATTATTTAGCCCAAGGAGTGAAAGGACAACAAAGAGCAACATTGGAACAGTTCAACATCTCAATGCCAAAATTAATGTGCAAAACAAAACCAAATGAAGTCTAATATTGTTTTAACATACCGTTGGTTTAACACGAGGATATAGTTATTTCACTAGCTAACATAACATAGAACTTGGGCTTAAACCCAAATCAAACATAAAACAAACACAAACACAAGTAAGAGCTAAACTATGCTTTAAATTAGTCAATTATGCCCGACATACCCACTATCCCTATTGTATATTTGAAATAAAGAATGCATAATTTGAGCTTTCACCCTTAATATCAAGAGTTAAGTCTTTAGGACAAATTTAAAACTTACTAAATATAGAATGATGTTAAATTGTGAATTTGGACACAAGATTAACACCATTGTGTTCAGAACAATCTTTATATTTTGTAGATATTCTAAATTAACAAATCTAAACATTTTTCATAAATAGCCAATAAAACCAAATGAAACTAACACATGGGGCATGATGGCAGGAGTGTTTTAGCTGACACTGTAAGCTATCATCTAGCAAATATTGAATGATTAAGCTCAATATTGTGAGAATTATTAATATTAGCAAGTGCAAGTCAATAATATAAATTTTTCATCACCGTGTCAAATATGTTTGACTAAATGACAAATTAAGATTTCCTTTCTTAGTGCTCTTTTAGTCTAAGTGCATATGTGATTATTAGTTTCTCAACTAACTTAGGTGGAAATTGATAAAAGATTCAACAATACTAGGCAATAAAAAAAGAATATTTAAAAGGACTTGCCGACAAATAACTTTTGATACACATAATCAAATTCATGACAATAATACTTTATCTCATATTTATATAATAATATTTTAAAATAACTTAATAGAAGTTAAATTTACTCAACTTTGATTTCTTCTTTAACAAACTTTGAGAAAATCATTTAAAATTCTTGAGTATATTTAGTTTCTTTTATCTTTTATTCAGAGAGAGAGAGAGAGATAACATTATCAGTAAATAGGAAAGAATGAATCACTAAAGTAAAAAATTACTAATTACTAATTACTAATCAAATAAAAAGAAAATAGCTTTTTTACGAATCAAATAATTTAACATATCAGAAAAAAATCTGTAAAACATTTGTGGTCACCTTTAATGAAGAGCATCTCTTTTCCAGCCCAGGATCCTCACGGCTCTGGGCGTGCTCTGCTCGTCCAAAGCGACCGGGGTAAAGGAGTTGTAAGATCATGTCATCGTGTCCGAAAGCTCTCAGCACACATTGCAAGGAGGCGAGCCCGCTTGATCATCTCTACTAGACTGCTGCAATCGCTTCCTGGCAGCTGCGATGGCCGCCTTGACACCGGCATGATCCGACTTCTTGATCACCTTGCTCGCGGAGGCATCCTCCTCAACCCGTCCAATCTCCTCCAGCGAACAACAGGCATCTAGAGCGATCAAAATCGTCTCCCGGCTCCTCCTCGATCTCTCCATCTTCTCGTACACCCCCATCGCCATATCCCTTCTTCCAGCGTCTACATAGCTCTTGATCATCACGTTCCAGGCCTCGGCACTCTTCTTCTCTAGATTCACAAACAGCTTTCTTGCCATCTCCAAATCCCCACACTGGGCATAGAACGCAAAGATCGCCGTCCGAAGCTTTAGATCCGCGCGGACCTCGCTCGAGACCAAGCACGCGTGGATGACGCGCCCCTCGGCCAGCGCCCGCGCCCTCGCGCAGCAATCAAACATCACCACCAGGAGCTCCGAGTCGGCCTCCAGATCCATGTTCTTGTACGCCTCGAGCGCGCGCTTGTGATCACCATTCTCGACGTAGCACCGGATCATGGCCGCCCACGCGCTCACGCCGCGCTTCTTCCTCTCCAGGCTCTCGAACACCTGGAGCGCCAGATCCACGGCGCCGCACTGGCTGTACATCTCGATCAGGAGCTCGGCCAGGAACGGGTTCCTCGCGAATCCCTCCGCGACGAGCTGGTTGTGGACCTTGATCCCCTGCTCCAGCGCGCGGTGCTGGGCGCAGTGGCGCAGCAGCGCGGCGTAGCCCGGCGGGGAATCCACCTGGTTGGCCTCGGATCGCAGGAGCTCGAGCGTGTAGTCGACGTTACCCGCCCGCGCGAGCGCCGCGATGAACTCCTGGCGCTTGCCGATGTGGACGCTGGCGCGCTCCTTGAGCGCCTGGCGCGCGACGTCGCGCCACCATCGCCAGTCCACCGTGTCGGAGCGGAAATCGTTGGAGAGCCAGACCAGGTAGTCCGTGGGCAGCGCGCCCAGCGGCGTCCCGACGTGGATGCCGAAGTTGATGGGCGTCCGGCAGGTGCCATCGACGAGGAAGTCGAGGAACTCCTTGGACAGCTCGCGCGGCCTCTTCATGTCCTCGAAGACGAAGGGGTTCCAGACGCCGGCGGGGAGCTCGCCCCTCCGCCAGCGCACCCAGATCGATCGGCACTTACTTGCCGACGCCGCCCACAAGAATGCGGGGCTCCTCGGCCGCGCGCACAGCGCCATCGCTACCCACGCAAGAACCCTAGACAAGCCCTACATTTGAAAAGCCCTAAAACCAGAGCGCGCAAAAGATAAACACTTACCGAATATACCATTTTTAAA